CTAAAAAGACAAATAATCTTACACATTCTGAAAACAAGATTATTATTCTTACACAATTAATTCTTGTTTAGTAAATCAGTCTCAAAACAAGATCAAAAAGACTTTTTGCCTGGATATAAGATTTTAAAACTTGGGAAGATGGACAGTTTTTGCAGTGTATGTTATATACAGTATATGCCAATACATTTTGTCATATTCGTCACAATTTACACGTTTCTTTCAGAAAAATGGACAAACTTGTACAAAAACACAAACAGCATCTCAACTGGGAGCAGAAAAAACTCACAAATAAAAACATTTCTCATGTCTAAGACAACAATGGCATTTTGGCGAAATGAGTGAGAAAACCCAGTCCTCTCTGGAGGTCAGACATACTTCAGAGTAAAAACTGGATTTTAGATGATGTAACTGGATGTTCAAATCTTTTATGGTTTTAACTTAAAGTCCTGTGATCATTAAGTTTTACTGCAGAATGTTTCAGAATGTGATGATGTCCAAAACTGGAAATGCAGGTTTTCTATATTTTTAAACATGAAAACACTGTAGATACAGAAAAACTGACGTGTAATAGCTGAATGGCTGGCAGTTTAGAATTTTTTTTTCTGAATCACTGAGCAACAGATGTGTTTCAAATGCTGATTTTAGATGTAGCTCTCATTTAAACTGTTCTAACCCTAAACCACATCTGGAAAAAAGGTTTAAACAACTTTAAATATCATTAGTTCAAGGCTGTAAACCAGGGGCCACATGAGAATTATGTTGGCCCTCAAAGGGCCAGTTGTATTAACTTCAATATTTCATATTTACCTTTGACTAAACATGAAACATCATGTTCCTCATCTCATTGCTTCAGCTGAGCACTGCTAATAAACAATAACTGAGCTCTACCTGGTATTTCCTGCATAGAAAGTGTTTTAACTTGCTCTCTTATAAACACTGGAAAGTACATGTACAACTGATGAAATGTAAAATAAATAATAGAGAAATATAAGTAAAAGTAAAAAAGTTTTACTCACTGATGAGTTGTGAGTAGCTGCTTTCTTGAATTTTGAACTCTCCCACTTTTCTACAGGGAACTCCTATGTATAATCAACATGCATTTATGGGAGATTTAGTTTGTAGTCAATGAAAGCTGCTTATTTTAAGACGTTAATACACGGCTATTCAACTAAATAACTCAGTGGGCCACAGTTACTCAAAGCCAACAGCTCAGGAGCAGGACTATTATTCACCTTTTAAATCTGTTTACTTTGTTAAATGATCATAAATTCAGTTTAGCATTGATATAAAACGTTTTTTTAGTGGTCGCCTTGAATTTGACATGTGCCATAAACCATTTAAAGGTTGAGTTTAACAAAAATCTGTGTTATTATTACTGTTATTATGATTGGGGCAGAGTGGTTTTAGTAGTCGTCCTGTAACCAGTGGGTTGCTGGTTCAATTCCCTGTTCCATCCTTCTCAGTTGTTATGTTCTTGGGCATAACACTTCACCAGCCTTGCCTACTGATGGTGGTCAGAGGGTCCGGTGGTACCGGTACATGGCAGCCCCGCCTCTGTCAATGTGCCCCAGGGCAGCTGAGGCTACAATGTAGCTTACCACCATGTGTGTGAATGTGTGTATGAATGGGTGAATGACTGTAAGTGCACAGCACTTTGGAGTCCTTGGATTTGATAAAGTGGTGTACAAGTGCAGGCACGTTTCCCGTTT